AATAACTCTTAACGACTACATATTGTTCCTACAAATGCATGATTTGATTATCATATAACTCTATAGGTGTGTTTGGTTGGGGGATGGGACAGCATTGTAGTTGCTCAAATAATAAGGGGCTCCACGTTAATAACCCAATCAATTCTTAGAAAATTTATTATATTACATTCATTGATAATAGCTAAAAACATTGTCCGTATGTTATTATTTCAATTTCCTGAGTGGTCCGAGGATTTAAAGGATTGGAATCGCGAAATGCATGTTAAATGCACTTATAATGGTGTTCCATTATCCGAAACCGAATTTCCAAAAAAATGGTTAACATACGGTATTCAGATAAAGATCCTATTTCCTTTTTGCCTGAAACCTTGGCATAGAGTTAAACTACAACCCTCTCATAAGGATCCAATGAAAAAAAAGAAAGGTCAAAAGAATGATTTTTGCTTTTTAACAGTTTGGGGAATGGAAACTGAACTACCTTTCGGTTCTGCTCGAAAACGGCGTTCGTTTTTTGAGCCTATTTTTAAAGAACTAAAAAAAATAAAAAATTGAAAACGAAATGTTTTATAGCTTTAACAATTTTAAAAGAAAAAACAAAATTGTTTCGAAAAGTCTCAAAAGAAACAAAAAAAGGGTTCGCTCAAAGTATTCTATTTCTAAAGGGAATAATAAAAGAACTTTAAAAAATAAATCCAATTCCATTTTTTGGGTTGAGAGAAATATATGAATTGGGCGAAACTAAAAAGGATTCGCTAATCAGTAATAAGATGATTCGCAAATCATCCCTTCAAATTCAATCTATGGAGCGAACAAATTATTCATTAATAGAAAAAAAAATAAAGGATACTACGAGAACAAACACAATCAAAAATCAAATAGAAAAAATTAGAATTATAAAAGACAAGAAAAACGAATTTCTAACTCAAGAAATAAATATTATTTCTAACAAAATAAGTTATCGGGATAAAATATTAGAATCATCAAAAAAAAATTGGCAAATATTAAAAAGAAGAAATATTCGATTAATCCGTAAATTCTATTTTTTTATAAAATTTTTCATTGAAAAGATATACATAGATATTCTTCTATATATCATTAATATTCCAAGAACCAATACACAACTTTTTCCTGAATCAACAAAAAAAATGATTGAGAAATTCATTCACAATAATGAAACAAATCAAGAAAGAATTAATAAAACAACTAAAAATACAACTCATTTTATTTCAACTATAAAAAACTCACTTTCTTCACTTTCTAATGTTAGTATTAGAAATGAAAAAGCTTTTTGTGACTTATCCTCCTTCTCACAAGCATATGTATTTTACAAATTATCCCAAACCCAAGTTATTAGTTTTTTAAAATTAAAATCTATCCTTCAATATCATGGAACATCTCTTTTTCTTAAAAATGAAATAAAAGATTATTTTGAAGAACAGGGAGTATCTCATTTTCCCAGATTAAGACATCATTATGGGTTAAGACAGAAAATCTTTTGGCATTTTGGAATGAATGAATGAAAAAACTGGTTAAGGAGTCGTTATCAATACGATTTAGTTCAAAGTAGATGGCTTAGATTAGTACCAGCACAATGGAGAAATGGAGCCAATCAACGCTATCTGGCTCAAAATAAAGATTTAACAAAATGGGATTCAGATGAAAAAGAAAGATTAATTCATTACGAAAAAAAATGATTTTCAAGCAAATTCATTACTGAATCAAGAATATAAACTGAATCAAGAACAAAAATATAAAAAATCAAATTTGAAAAAACACTATGGATATGATTTTTTATCATATAAATCTATTAATTATCAAGATAAGAGGGACTCGTATGCTTATGGATCACCATTCCAAGTAAATAAGAGGGAAGAGATTTCTTATAATTACAACACGGATAAACGAAAATTGGTTGATACATTGAGGGATATCCTTATCCATAATTATCTAGGCGAAGACGATATCGTAGATGCTATGGGGAAATTTCCGCATAGAAAGTTTTTTAATTGGCGAATTCTTCATTTTTGTCTTAGAAATAAGGCCGATATTGAGTCCTGGGTCGATACCAATACCAAGAGTAACAAAAATATTAAGACTACGGTTAATAATTATCAAATAATTGATAAAATGGACCTTTTTTATTTCACAATTTATCAAGATCAAGAAAGCAACCCATCCAATCAAAAGGGCTTCCTTTTTGATTGTATGGGAATGAATGAAGAAATACTAAGTCGTCCTATATCGAATCTAGAGCTTTGGTTCTTCCCAGAATATATGCTGCTATATAATGCGTATAAGGTTAAACCATGGATCATACCAATAAAATTACTTCTTTTAAATTTAAATGGAAACGGGAACATTAATAAAAATATTATTGAAAATAAAAAAAAGGACCCCCTTATAGCACCGAACGAAAAAATAGCACCGAACGAAAAAATAATGATTGGATTGGAGAATCGAAATCAAGAAGAAAAAGAACTCATAGGTGAAGGGGATCTTGTATCAGATGCACAAAAACAATGAAATTTTAAATCTGTTCTCTCAAACCAAGAAAAAGACGTTGAAGAAGATTATGGTAAATCAGACAGAAAAAAACGTAGAAAGAAAAAGCAATACAAGAGCAACACGGAAGCAGAGCTTGATTTTTTCCTAAAAAGGTATTTACATTTTCAATTGAGATGGGATGGTTCTTTAAATCAAAGAATACTCAATAATGTCAAAGTATATTGTCTCCTGCTTAGACTGATAAATCCAAAGGAAATTGTTATATCCTCTATTCAAAGGGGAGAAATGAATCTGGATATTTTGCGGATTCAGAAGAATTTAACTCTTAGAAAATTACTGAAAAAAGGAATATTTATTATCGAGCCAGTTCGTCTGTCGGTAAAAAATGATGGCCAATTTATTCTATATCAAACTATAAGTATTTCGTTGGTTCATAAAGATAAACACCAAATTAATCAAAGATACCAAGAAAAAAACTATATTGATAAAAAGAATTTTGATGAATCTATTGCAAGACATCAAAAAATGACTGAAAATAAAGACAAAAATCATTATGATTTGTTTATTCCTGAAAATATTTTATCCCCTTACCACCGGCGAGAATTGCGAATTCTAATTTCTTTCAATTCAAGGGATAAAAATGCTATGCATAGAAATCCAGTATTTTTAAATACTGTAAAAAACTGTGGTCAAGTTTTGACTAAAAACAAACATCTTGATAGTGATAAAAAGAAACTAATTAAATTAAAGTTCTTTCTTTGGCCCAATTATCGATTAGAAGATTTAGCTTGTATGAATCGCTATTGGTTTAATACTAATAATGGCAGTCGTTTCAGTATGGTAAGGATACATATGTATCCGCGTTTGAAAATTAGTTAATGGTACATTTTCCCATATATTATGTATGTACCGTGCCGGGTCTATGAAAACAAATAGATGGGCACAAGGATTGTCTTACATTTCATTCTGATACATGATACTAATTTAATGACATACATATCAAATATATATTACAAATATATATTAATTAGAAATTAGATCGCCAAATGAATCACTAAGATCCTCTTATTTGAACTCTAAAATTTTCTCTTTTGTAGAAATATATCACTCTTTTGTATCACTGTACGAATCAAATTGAAAACGGGATTGATTAATTTTATTTGAACAAATTAGAAAGCTCATAACGAACTTAAAATCATTGTGTATATCAAAATGACTGGTATTATTATTACTGATCAGTAAAATTCACATTCAAAAAAAGGGGGAGAGAATATTTTGTTTTATGGTAAAAAATTCATTCATCTCAGTTATTTTTCAAGAAAAAAAAAGAAGAAAACAGGGGTTCGTTGAATTTCAAATAGTTAGTTTCACCAATAAGATACGAAGACTTAATTCACATTTGGAATTGCACAAAAAAGACCATTTATCTCAGAGAGGTCTACGTAAAATTCTAGGAAAACGTCAACGGCTGCTGTCTTATTTATCAAAGAAAAATAAAATACATGTAAGATTCTCATGGGAATTGAATACATATTCCCCCCCGTTTGGTTGGCCGGGAATGTTATTCCCGGTAATCTTACATTACCAATAGTGAAATTTTTGGGGTATATTAACGAGAATGTCATTACCTCCCTTTCCTTAGGTATTGTTGGATTACCAGCGTTTTGGACTAAAATGCCCTTAAAAAAATATTTCTTTCAAAAATATTCTTATTCTGTCGTTGAATAATAAAAATTCTACGAAAGTTCAATTACAAATTTATCCTTAAACTATTTTAGATTTACAAAAAAATCTATAATTAAAATTTTATATGAAGTTCATGGGTTAAAATAAAATTTTACCATTTTATTAAACCTTTTTTATATTTTTAATTTTGTAAAAAAAATTATATAAATTTTATGAATTTAAATTTTTAAAGAAAATATATAATTATTTTCCAACTTGTTAAAAAAATAAATATATAATAAGGACAATTTGATAAAATATACATTCCAATAATCTTTTATTCCTTTAACCAAACACGGTAATCTTACATTCCTGCTAAACCAACCAAACACAAAATACAACATTCCCAGTAATCCTATTCTCGGATAATCTTTTATTCCCACTGGTAATTTTACATTCCATGAACCAAACGCACCCTATGAGTTTTAACGACTACTATTAACTACTTTTCAAATATTTTTAAACGACTACCAATACTACTTTTAAAATATTTCTAAACAACTATATATTTAAAAAATATTATTTTAATAAAACTCGCCACCTTGACGTAATGAATTTTAATGTTTTTTATTTTAATTTAATTTAAATAAATAACTAGAAAAAATAATATTATTGTTTTAATAGAATTCATTACCTCGAAAAGATAAAAAGCCATTTCGGAAGCTTTGAAGTTGGATTATGTAAGGTCCAAATTTGGTTTTTGGATAAAGTGAAAGTGATATATTTATAATAATACTATGAAAACCCAACACCACCAACCAGTGCCATGAAGAAAACCATCCCGTTACTAGTCTGGAGGGTTTTTTTTTTACTTGACCCTGTGAACCAAATTTATAATAAACCCCCCGAAAAAGAAGTCATTGCAAAATGCAAACAAAAAAAAATGATGAAACCACTTTGCATTTCTTTCACTACAAATCTTATCGGCTGGTCATACCATGTCATGTGTGCATTCAGACCACATCAGAGGATTCTATCCTGAAGATCCGACATAAAAGTGGACGCAAAGGAGCTAAGTTTCTTTCCGGTCTCCCCTGCAATGTTCTTTAGGTTCGAGATATCCTGTTGTGCCTGACAATAAATTTCACAAACAACAAAACAAAACAAAAGATGAATTCCCATGTATATAATACGCACTAAAACACACAAGGGATGATGCAATTTAGACGGCAGACCTGGAACGAGAGTCGGTTGATGAGGTCACTAGCGGAGAGGTCTAGATCCCCATCCTTGCCAAATAGCTCAGCACTGGAGATAGCTGTTGAACCCTGCAAAAAGTATTCATCTCAGGAACCACATTTCAAACGTAAATTAGCTTTTACCCACTACTTCCTCTTATGCCTATGTTTTTGGTTAAAATAAGCATTTGCTATTCTACCTTACCGCTATTAACTGATGCTATTACATTAAAACTTATGATGATAAAGAAAAAATAAATAAATCTTATGACTACAGTTCTTCTAAGCATCTAATTTATTTACAGCCGACCGTCTATCAGAAAATTAAAGGAAAATATATTGTACAAACGTAGTAAAAATTCGTAATTAGAGATGGTAATGGACGGGGCAGATGTTTCCTCGTCCCGACCCTACATAATAGAAACCTAACAACTTGATTTCAACATAATTTATTTCGACTCAAATCCAAACACAAAAGTAAATGATATATCCGACCTTTTTATAACAAAAACCCACCAGATCTAATTTTTTAATAAAAACCCTAAATATATTATATTTAAAAAATTAGAAAATGATATCGTAGCAAATATACGAGGGAGAGATAAGTTTCGTCTAAATCATCCTGCCATACTTCAAAATTGTTACCAAAAAACCCACTCCAAAACCCGACTTACAAAATCAAACCTTATTAAGATTGGGTTAGAACTCGTCGGTCTCGGTTTTTTTGCCATCCCTATTCGTAATAGAATAATACAGTCTCTTGAGCACATAAAGTAGATATCTTTCGAGAAAGGAAAAGCCAGTGTACATACAGAGAATTTCTGCAAAGTAGCTTGAGCTTCATTATCTGCTGCTCTGGTCTGATTACCAAAAAATTGGGCTGATGAAATAGATTTCGCATTGGAGAACTTTTTCCTAGCTTCATCAGTTTCCTGAATCTGGGATAAAAAAAAAAGCAATAAGAAACACAGCGAGAAGGCAGAACAGATGCAAGAAAATAATAAAAAACATTGACCACTTCAAGGGACAATTAGAAAAAAAATATAATCACACAAAAACTTCCTACCCGTCGAGTTTTCCAACCTTTTATCATGGACGTGTGATCCAAGTAGATTCAAGGTGTCTCATAAAGTTTCCACAAACACAGAATGCAAACTTAAATGTCATGTATTGAAATTTGATTTTCAAGGAAAATATAAGTTCACTTTAGCTAAAAGCATGACCAGAATTATGTATACTGGGTTCAATCACTTGATGTCAGACATCCTCAATATGAAAGTTATAAATATATTTAGCAGAAGTTTTGCAATTGACCTCGAGTGATATGAAGAATCAAACGGAAGAGCCGTATGTTCAAACCAGAAAGAGACTTTCCATCAAACTATCTATAGACAAAATATGCAAGTTCTAGGTCTTTGACAGAGGTACATTACTTACTTGCACTTTTGGGGATTTTGAGCTTGATTTCTTCTCAACTCTACTGTTCATTTCAAAATCAGAAAAGAAGCTAGATGACTTTGGAGGAGCGACGTGGCTAAGCACTTGTGGGCCACCAGAATTCAACTCCGTAGATTGACCATTTTCTACATACTCAAAACGTGATGAAAATGATGTGGCAATGGGTGCTGCAGGCTTTTTTGTTGAGGAAGAAACAGGGACAACGGGTTCTTGAGGCTTCTGGTCATATATATTTTCACTCGACTGCAATTAAAATGATGTTATAAAGAGAAAAAGCACCAACAATAACTCCAAAATAAGTAATCGTTCTAATTGATATATCCTTGTGATCAGTCTAATGTAATTGCATTGCTCAAAATAATCTATGTGAATACCTTAGAAGCAAGCTTTCGGGCACCAAGGCCCCCAGCTTTCCCAGATTTCTTTGAACCAAGAGGCTTCTTGACAGTGCTTGTAACAGTTGTACGAGAAGACTTTTGCGGAGCAGAAACTTCTGTTTTTTCTAACCTGTCTAAAGAACTTTCTTTGGTAACCTCATCAATCTCGCTATCAATAAGTCCATTGGATGCTTGTGATGACTGAGAGGCAACCAGTGATGATGGAAAACTCGACTCTTCTGCCAAGCTTTTAGTGACTTCTTTTGATAGTATTTGCCTATATAACTCAGCAGCCCTTGAAGTATATTTGGACTCAATTTTGCCTCCATCAGTCCATCCATGCTGCTTAAAGAAAACTTGTGCACGGTTGTTTCCTCCATAGATCATCATTTTCAATTGTTCAGGAGACCATGAATCTAAATTTGTAGACCTGCATAGAATATGAGTGCTGTTAAGAACAAGAAGAGAGGAATGCAAAGTCTCACGAGTATAATCAATAGAAGGGACATTGTATGATAGTATCAACATCAAAGATTCTCAAGTCACAAGTCTTCACTAATGAACATGTGAACATGTTTCAGAGTAGACAGAATATCTGAAAGCTCATGCTTTTCTGGCTAGTAAGGAGGACACTCTTGAAAAAGTATTTTTTGGGCCAGTATGGATGTATTCTTGAGAAAGTGCTTAAGTGATTATGTATATCCAAATTTGGCTAAACATGAGTACCAAAAAACCTACTACCCAGAAAATAGCAAGTTGGGAAAAATATGCATACTGCATGTTAAATATGATAGCAGATTAATATCTAAAAGAAGGGTTCCAACTATCGAACCATTACACCCCCCTAGAAGAAAAATTATCCTGAGTAGTTTTTGGAAACTTAGTAGCAGCTTATCTCATATGCATAATATGCCAGACAATGAATTTATCACATTCATACAAAAACAGAAAAACACAGAAAAAGAGGATATTTCATATTAGGTTTCGAGTACAATGCAAAACATCATTTTAAATATGAACAAAACTCACACAAAAAAATCGGGGGGAGGCAACATTGAAAACAAAATATAAACCAACAAGAAAGAATATATGCAGATCATACTTCAGTTGAGGCGCTTATAAAAAAAATAACATTAACTATAAAAGGAACAAAATTTTTCTCAAAATCATTCATTTGGCGATTCCACCTTCTGGAGATCCTCTCCAACAGTAATAATATGATAGCTCAAACCTCACATATTAAATTTATAAATTTCAACACCAGAGAGTTCGGTTTCTTTATGAAGAGATGAATCGGAGGGCAAAGCCAAATCAATTTTCTTCCCTTTAAATAATTCAGCAAAAAAAAATCCAACGTGTTCACACATAATTCGGAGCTTAGATGACAACTAAAATTAAAACTAAAACACAAATGAAAAATAAACAAAAGGCATGGGGTATTTAATAATAAGAAGATGCCGATACCTGACAAAGCTGACGTGGACACCGAGACTCCGATGAACGGCAGAGCAATCAATGCAGAGAAAAATCCCATACGTCACCGACGCCCATGTCGGATTCCTCGCATTACAATCGAAACACATCTAGGAAATAAAATAACGATGAATAATTGGAAATGTAGAAAAAAATTCCAGATCTTAAAAAAATAAAAATCAATCCAAAAAACAAACAAACAAACCTTGTTATCTGATTTAGTTTTCAGCTTTCTGAAAACAGCGTTCTTATCGCTCAGATTGTCGGAGGACGCCATAGACGTTGTTGTTTTCTAATATTATTTTGATTAATTATTTAGGAATTTAAAAAGAAAATTGGCGTAACTTTGGTTGTTTTTTGAAGAAGAGAAGGTTTGTTGTGGAGAGGCGTTGTATCCTCTCCTCTCTTTTCTTCTCTTCTCCTCAGCAAGGCTTTTGAGCCGGCGACGACAATGTATAAATGCAACCAAGTTTATTATGGAAATGACGATTGTAGCATTGTTAATGTCCAACAAATTGACGTAAATGACCTTGACAGGAACGTGGTGGCGGGAAAGGAGTCCCGCAGCAGAGGATTGTCTCCGGAAAGACATACTAATATATAGTTAATATACGGTATTATTGAATACATTAAAAGATATTTGACAAATTCGATTTAACGTTACCGGAAATATCGAGTAATAATAATGTAATAGGTGGAAATCATGAAGAAATATTAAAAAATTTGATAACCGGCAAACTTAACTTGTCGATTTCTGTCGATACTTTATAAAAATATATTAATCCATAATAATATGGCAAGAAAAAAAATTACAAAACCGGTCTATAAATGACAAAACAGGTAAAGCGCTCAATACTTTATAAAAATGTATCGATCCATAACAATATAACAGGTAAAAAAAATGACAAAACCGGTCTATAAATGACAAAACAGGTAAAGCGCTACCGGATATGTTGATAGTGTCGATACTTTATAAAAATGTATCGATCCATAATAATATAACAGGTAAAAAAATGACAAAACCGGTCTATAAATGACAAAACAGGTAAAGCGCTACCGGATATGTTGATAGTGTCAATACTTTATAAAAATGTATCGATCTATAACAATAAAACAGGTAAAAAATGATAAAACTGGTCTATAAATGACAAAACAGGTAAAGCGCTACCGGATATGTTGATAGTGTCGATACTTTATTATAAGTATCGATACTTTTGGAATTTAAAAGAGAAGAAGTTATAGCGCTAATAAAGTGTCGATACTTTATAAAAATGTATCGATCCATAACAATATAACAGGTAAAAATATGATAAAACCGGTAAAGAGCTATCAGATATGTTGATAGTGTCGATACTTTATTATAAGTATCGACACTTTTGGAATTTAAAAGAAAAGAAGTTATAGCGCCAATAAAGTGTCGATACTTTATACAAATGTATCGATCCATAACAATATAACAGGTAAAAATATGATAAAATCGATCTCGAAATGACAAAACCGGTAATAAAAAAGTGTGTTTGTGTGGTCATTTTTATTTCAGAATTTTCATTTTTTAATACAAAAAGTTGGATATTTTAAGCAAAAACCTATTAAGAAAAAAACAAAAACTTTACAATAATAAAAGAATAACATTGGGAAACCACCATGTTATCAGTTTCTCAAAGAACAAAAACCCAGAAGCAGACATCTCTGAACGCAAACTTATGATATACTCTTATTATCTCCATAGGATAAAGTTAGGTCAGTTTTAGTTTCTCAAAGAATAAACTTATAATTGAAGAACTCAAACTGGTGCACGTATAAATGTCGATGCATTTATGAAAAATATCGATTCAAAAAACATCGAAATCAATAATTATTATGTAACAGGTAAATTTACAATGTAATAGGTAAAAATATACTGGTTAATTAGCAAATAGGTTTACATTATGTATCGACACTCTTTAAATATGTGTCGATACTTTTTTCCCAAAATGAAAACACAACGAGTTACACGCATAAAGTGTCGATACATTTAAAATTGTATCAATCCCAAAAACATCAAAATCGATAATTATAATGTAATATGTAAATTTACAATGTTATCGGTTTAAATATACATGTTTAGTTAGAAAATAGGTCAATATAAACGTTACCTATTATATTATATAAGCGCTACCTATTATATTATATAAGCGCTACCTAATATATTATTGTACTTGATAATATTTCTGATTAAATGATATAACATAATCGGTCTAAATTTTAATCGATTACTTATCTAACATGTCATGTCTTTTTTTTACCTTTTTTTTTTTTAACGCCGCACAGTAGAATCACCTATCCCGCGGAGTTTGGTGGCCAAGTTCCCCGCCCCCTAAATTGGATGTTTAAAGCTGAACTAACTAAGTACATATTTGTTCCACCTCAGCTTCATTTGTTTTGATGGCTCAACCTATTTCTAGGGATTATTATTATATTATTTGGAATTTTAAGGTATTACTATTTGTCAATTATTTTAAATTCCATCATTCCAAAGTAGGAGGAATATGGAGCGACCTTCTCAATTCAGTTTGTTTCATTCGTAATTATCAGTATTTGAACTTTTAATTTTGTTTAAGAGATCTAATATCTCATCACACTAGACTAATTATTGGTATTTCTTTTAGTGACTTTTAAAATGTGTACTTTTATTTTTTTAAGTATCATTTTATTTTACTAACATGTTATTAAATCATACAATTCAGGTCACATAAAAATATAATTGATCATATTAAAAAAAATTATATGTCAGTTCAACGTTTATTGCTATTTTTAAAGAAATTTTATATTGTTTTAATTAAAATAATTAATTATGTGTCCGATTTAAATTTACTGCTAACTTTGTAAAAGTAAAATTATGTTAAATTAAACCATAGGAATTAAGTTTTAAGTTTCAGAATAATAAAGGACTAATTAGATCATTTTAAGATAATTATGTCTGGGCTTTATTCCTTAGCCCGGATTTTGTTTGTAAGGACCCAAAATCCCAAATTTAAACGTTAATCGTGTCTTGCCCTTCAAACTAGACGCCGAACTTTTATTTGACATTCTTTTTGGAGAGAAACTAACTATACATCAAACATTAAGTCTAATGTTCGGATGTCAAAATTGGGCCGCTTTCGTTGCTTGGTTGTCAAAATCATTAATATAAGAATAAATATTAAAATATATTTGAATTTAAAAATTTTCGTCCCATTGACCCTTCTGGATCCGAAAAGTTCTATAGTGTGGCACCATTAATATACAATTAAAAAAATATGTTATTTAAATTACTTAAAATATTATTATTTTTACTTAAAACATTAATATTTTTTTAACGTTTTCGGTAAAGTGTTCAACAATAATAAAATCGGTAAAAAATAATAAAATCGATAGAAATAATAATTTTTTCGATAATTTTTTATCAAATTTATTATTTAAATAATAACAAAACTGTTAATATTTTTTAACAATATATTAAGGATGCGATCATTTCCCTCTGGAATATCCATTCTTGTGTCAACCATTCTCTAAGTGAGATGAATAGGGTTTGTTTTCTAAAGTAAGTAACTATTCCACCAAAAGTATAAAATATAATTTAATTAGTATTTGGTCTTCATGCAATGAATTTGTACTTTATAAAGCTAGCCTGCTTAAGTAAGTTGTAACTTTTCCTATTATGGTTGGCGGGCTTTTGTTTAATTGTTTTACCAAGTAGCTTCACAATGTTGTCAATGGATGAAAGAGCAATACAAAAATCAAAATTAGTAAATGCTAAAACCCTAATTGATCCCCATAACCACCAGGGCCGGCCCTGGACATAGGCCAGAGGGGCGACCGCCTAGGGTCCAAGCTTGGAGGGGGCCTATTTTTAAAATTATTTTTAAGTTTAATAATTAAAAAATATTTTTAAACATACTTTTTTATTTTAAATACTTGAAAATATGACAATTTAGTAGGGCCCAACAATTAAAAAATATTTTTAAACATCATTTTTATTTAAAAAACTCAAAAATATAATAATTTAGTGGGGTTCCATTTTAATGATGAAGAAATCTAGGTATACCCCCACTTATTTCTTGTCAACACCTTTCGGCCTAGGACCCTTAAAATGTCAGGACCGGGCCTGATAACCACCCATAGGATTGTAACATATAACATGGATTAGATGACTCAAAGGCACAGCTTCAAAATTCCAAATGCTAAGTTATATAATTTTAAGAAAATAAAATAAATCATTAGCAAAAAATATATAAAAATAAATAAATACATTATATAAAGATTTTAAAGCTTGACCTGAAACTCAACCCCAATCTAGCAACCGTTGTTGACCAGCATGATCCGTGGATGCTTTGTACAACGAGAAAAGAGTTTATTTTCGGGCAACTAAAAGGATTATTTCAATAAACGCCCTCAAACTATTATTCAGAATTTAAATTGGTCTCCTAATTTTAAAATATTCTAAATGGGCCATCAAAATACTAGTATCTCACTGACGAAGTCATTTTATCAGCCTGGTTATTAGTTTAGGCATTAAATATTGGTTTAAATAACATGAAGAATATTTAAGACACACAAATTAAATTACGAATACGTGTATACTTATTGTATGAAAATTTTGGATGAAGTATATGTTAAGAAATATATAACTCTTAAAATTGGTATAATGACAAAAAAAAACCTCAATATTTGCCACTTTTGCATGTTAAACAACTCGTAAAATTGAATAAAAGAGACCCAATTGAATAAAAGGAAAAAATATTTTTTGGAAAAAAGGAGACCAAATTTTAAAGAAAGAAGATGTGGAAAGCTTGAAATGCTTGATTTGTATTGGATGACATTTTGGAGTGCTTTGAATAGGTGAGTTTTGATTTTATACTTTTTGGAGCATAATTTTATTCGTTTATGTGCGTTTTCTTATGTTGGTAAAACGCATGTATTATATCAATTCAATGAATTTGTATTAAAGTGATATCTAAAGATATGAATATGTGTTCGGACTATCAATCGACTATCCAATACTAAATAATCTAAAAATCTAAACATTGACTGTCTTGATAATGTGTCAGACAAAGTTGATATGTTATAGGATTTTTATTACAATTATACGAGTTGTATGGGGTACGAGTATTACTACGATACAAAATCATTACTTTAAAATTAGGATTTGTGAGTTGAAGCATAGGATGTGAGGGTTAAGACTTTCGGACTATGAGGTATGCATATGTTGATTTGTGTGTTCGTAAAGTTATTAAACGAGTTAAGTTTGAATTAATAATTGAAATAGATATGCAGATGTTGATTGGTGTGCGTGAACCTCGTCCCCCAAAGGTTGAAGCGTTTGTCTGGAAACTTGTTCATCACAAAATCCTAACTTTAGTGAAACTCGCCAAGCGTATCGTTGTGAACATTGGGGAGATTGTATGTGTTTTCTGCAAATCGGACCCAGAATCGGTAATCCATCTATTCTGTCACTGAAAGATCATTTGGAGTGTGTTACAAAGTGGTGTAGTTATTCGAATACAAATGACTGTCCCAGGGAATTATAGATCGTTTATTTTTTGTTGGAATCATCAACCTAATCGATCAAGCTAGGTACAAGTCAATCTGGAGGATGGCCCTTTTTGGTCTAATTTGGTCAATATGACTATGCAGAAACGAGCCGGTGTTCAACAACAAGATCCTAAATAGTGACCAAATCCTTGAGGTAGCCCTTCTCCGAATCGGTATTTGGTGCAATTTTTTCGCTTGTAGATCTGTGGTCAAGAGGTAAGTGGTATGTCATCTAATCTTGGTGTGTTTTACCTCCGAAATGGTTTGTGTTTATCTCGTGATTGGTGTTAGTCCTCTGAGATGAGTTGTAATGCTGCTTTCCATAAGGAGCTCTGATCCTACTCTATTCAGTGGGTGGTTGCCTGCCTTGCTTTCTCTGACTACTGTGTAGGGGACGTGTTGTCATGGAGCTTCTGATTTACGTTAATCAAGTAGTATATGAGTATATGAGTAACTAGAGTAAGTATAAAATCATAGCTTAATGATAAGTATGAATAAACGGTGCAAATGCATAAATAATATGATGATTGGGACAATTTTGAAGACGCATGTAAGTATCTTGAGCGCATTTTATCTTTTGTTGTTGTCTAAACTATCCTACTTCGTGAACATACTCAGTTTAAATTATAAATAAAGGTATTGAATTGATTTTTTTATCTAAAGTTTGAGTTAAAGTTATATTTTATCTTAAGTTAATGTTAAATTTGTATTTTATTTAAAATTCAAGCGTCTAATAAAATTAATTTTTTTAATATGTCACATCATCAAACTAATTAGAGTTAACTACTTGGTGATTAAAATAAAATAAACCACTAATAAAAATGACTATTGTATAACTTTTCAAAATTGATGATCAAAATAAGAAATGTCAAGAACAAAAATGACCACTCGTATAGTTTATCCAAACAAATAATACTATTTAGATATTTTAGAATTTTAAAAACAATTGTAGAAATCAAGTGACATTGGTGGTAAATGAATTGTTGTTATTCCTTGAGGTATCGGATTTTAGTACTAGAAATGTTATGGTTGTGAGTGTTCAATGTCAGATGGTTAAGAGTTATCTTGAAATAGTTATTGCCTTCTAATTACCTTAGATTAATAAAAAAAAGAATTTTATAAATAATTTAAAATTAAAGTAGACTATTTATTTGTTCACCCATCTATTATTTAATTTATATTTTGGTCACTCAACTATTATTCTTTAAAAAAAACGATACATAATGTTACATTATGATCATACATCGTTAAAAAATTAACGATGATATTGATGCGTTATCATAAGATGATGTCACGTTAGCATTAAAAATTACCACCTCAACATCACTGTTGATTTTTAACAACAGGTGATCAAAACAGAATTAAAACATAAATATTATGTATGATTTTTAAAACAATAATACTTTATGGCCAAAATAGAAACTAAGTAATGGGTGAGCAACCGAATAGATATTTTACGCTTAAAATTATTATAGTGACTTCAAGTGAATTATCCCAAAGTAAAAAGATTCTTTAAATAAGTTAAGTATCAAGACGAGTGATTGACAGATGGCGATTATTTGGGAAAATGTGAGGAAATTTGAGGAAATATACATATCACCTTTTTAAGAGTTTTTTTTCCTTTCATAAATAGAGGAAATATTAGGCCAATTTAAATATTTTTAATAATTTAATAATGAACTTCACTTTCATATTGATATTTTTTTTTCATTTATAAGTTTCGCACTTATAGAATTGCATAATGAATATTAATGTTTTGATTACTCATTTAGATAATTGAAATATTTAATTATTATTTTTTTTATTTTTAATAATTGATATCTGAATTATTAATTAATTTATATTTTATAAAAAATATTGTATTATACTCTTAATTTAATTATATTATTCAAAATATTTAAATTTAAATAATTATTTTTATTTAAAAATATAACATTTCATTTAAATAGGCAGTTAAAAGTCGATAATTTTTATAATAAAAACTTAAAAAGACAACTGCTTCATGCGCCAGATATTCAATATTTACCGATTTAATCGGCTCTCCTCGGACCCGGCCTTGGTAGATTTTTCTTCTCTTTTTGTCTGCTCTCCAATCCCTATACTATTCACCTCCAATTGAAAAAAACTCGGCTGCTCCCCAAATAATATTTTTATACCCTTTTTTCCATTTGCCTTCATCCTTACATTCTTCATCTTCATCCCAACCACGAAACGAGTTCCTCTGATTAAAAACAAAACAAAGAAAATAAGCTCACTTTCTTGTGGAATTTAAGGTATGAAGGATTCTCGATTAGCGTCGACGATGAATCTTTGGACGGATGAATACGCATCGGTCACGGAAGCTTTTATGAGCTCCGATCTTTCTGCTTTATGGCCACCGCCGCCTCAATCCTCTGCATCCACTTCCACACCACCTGTTATTACTTCTTCTTCTTCTGCTAGCGCCCCAACCCAATCTCAGCCCCCCGTTTCTCTTTTCAATCAGGAAACTCTCCAGCAGCGTCTCCATGCTCTCATCGAAGGCGCCCGCGAGTGTTGGACTTACGCCATTTTTTGGCAGTCCTCCTACGATTACTCCGGCTCCTCGGTACTGGGTTGGGGCGACGGGTATTACAAAGGCGAAGAAGATAAAGGGAAAGGGAAGTTGAAAACTTCATCTGCGGCTGTGGAACAAGAGCACCGTAAAAAAGTGCTTAGAGAACTCAATTCTTTGATTTCCGGTTCCATGGCTCCTATGGACGATGCCATCGACGAAGAAGTCACCGATACAGAGTGGTTCTTTTTGGTTTCCATGACGCAGTCTTTCGTCAACGGCTGCGGGCTTCCGGGTCAGGCTCTTTTCAATTCAACTCCAGTTTGGGTTGTTGGATCGGACCGGCTAGCCGGTTCGACGTGCGAACGAGCGAGGCAAGGGCAGATCTTCGGTTTACAAACGATGGTTTGTATACCGTCGGAAAATGGGGTGGTTGAATTGGGTTCAACGGAACTCATCACGCAAAGCTCCGGTATGATGAATAAGGTTCGGGTTTTGTTTAACTTCAATAATGGAATTGATGCTGCTTATTTGTCTCTGTGTAATAATATTGCTAATGAAGGCGAAAATGATCCGTCTTCTCTTTGGATTAGTGATCCAAATTCTGTGGTCGAACATAAGGACAACAATAATCCTAGCAAACAGAATCAGCAGATTCAAAAGTCGATTCAGTTCGGTGAGAATCCGAGTTCTATTCATGTCGGAAATCATCATCAACAGCAGCAGAATCACCAGCAGGGTCAGAGCTTCTCGGATTATGGTTTCGATGGGATTAACAGTTCAAGGAATGTGAATTCTTCTAATTTGCTAAAACCAGAATCCCAGGAGATACTGAATTTTGGTGAGAGTAAGAGGAGTGGGAATGGGAATTTGTTTTCAGGTGATTCTTCTGGTGTAGTGTTGCCTTCTTCTGGTATGGAGAAATCAAGTGGAGGTGCTGCTGATTCGGATCACTCCGATATCGAAGCATCTGTCGTTAAAGAACCTGATTGTAGCAGAGCTTTGGAGCCTGAAAAGAAACCTCGGAAACGAGGGAGAAAGCCGGCAAACGGAAGAGAAGAGCCTCTGAATCACGTCGAAGCTGAGCGACAAAGGAGAGAGAAGCTTAACCAGAGGTTCTACGCCTTGCGTGCCGTGGTTCCGAACGTATCGAAGATGGATAAAGCATCGCTCCTCGGTGATGCTATCTCATACATCAAAGAGCTTAGCACAAAGGTACAGAATGCAGATTCAGAGAAATTTGAGCTGAAGAAACAATTAGAAGCAACCAAGAAAGAATTGGCAAATAAAGATTCATCACAATTGATGTGCAATAAATTGGTAGAATTGGAAATCGAAGTGAAGATCATCGGGTTGGATGCAATGATTCAAGTACAATGCAAGAGAAAGAACCATCCAGCAGCAAGGCTAATGACTGCTTTAAAGGAGCTAGACCTCCATGTTCAACATGCCAGTGTGACTGTAGTGAACGATTTAATGATCCAACAAGCCACCGTGAAGATGGCAAACCGGTTTTACACTCCGGAGCAGCTCAGGCTAGCTCTAACATCCAAACTCGGAGATGAAAGATATCGAACATTAACTCGAGCTCGGCCCGCATAAGCAAATCAGTTCAACCCGGAGATGCAACATACAGAGGATAGAGCAGAGCTTGACCCAAATAAGCAATGGGGATAAAGATTGATCGGAGATAGATACGACTGCGGTATGATTGTTAAAACGGCCGCAGAGCTCCGGGACATTTTAAGGCTCCTGGTAGCACACAAGCTCTGTAAAAATACTCTTGGATTTTGTTCTTAGTTGTGTTTAAGCATATTTAATAGTTTGATAGATTATTAAGTTAACTGGCAATAGCCTTTTTGTGTTGAATCTTGTTATGTATGTATGCATGTATATATAGCTTGTTATATATTGGAACCAATATGAAGTTCTGGGTTTATTAATTTGTTCTCCAGGTTTATCACATGCTCTTTTATTTTACTCTTGGAGGGTAGTTGGTATTGTTTCGACCATGTAATAATAACCACAACAATAATGATGTTTCCACGAGCTGAAAATGCTCGACCACATAATAATTCTTCACATGCCAAAAATACACCGACCGTGTGTAATGGAAACAGAGCTTATCCGATTGGGAGCTGATTATTCCCTCGAAACTGCATGTTAAAAGTATGCCTTCACCAAATTTACAGTTTTTGGTAGAAATTACATCGGGTAAAATCGATTTTTTTTCATTGGTCGCCGAGCATGTGGCTATAGAGCTGTAGGCGTTTCCTTTTTCAACTATTTGGACACTATGTTTGCAGGTGGAACTTTACAACCGGTAACCAAAATCCATTGTGGATCATGAAAGCAATCTATTCAATAATTCACAACTCAATCATGCTGCTGCCCGTAATGTCTTCTTCTTCCGTTTTGTCTTTTGTCCAAAAATATTAATGCCATTGTTGAAGTAAAAAAGGGCTCGGAAATTTCAAAAACATGGTTGGATTCAGAGCAATTAACCAGGAAAGCATGTGAAAATGAGGAGATTTTTCAACTCAAATTTTGAAACGCAATCGTTGAATAGCATATTCCTCACAGAGAAACGAAGCTTGAACTTACACCAGACAAAGTTTTCTTTTAAAAGAGATTCGCAAGGAGAGACTTATTTCCATTCGAGGAAGGATTTGTTGTTCGTTGAATGTTGAACTAAAAGCCAGATGCAATTATTCAAGTAAGATTTTTTTTTAAAAAAAGAGAACAGGAGAAGTGATAATTTGTATATACATTCAATGTTTCTTCAACCAAAAAACCAATTACAGTTGGTTTATGCAATCAAATATGCAAAAAGGTCCGAAGCATACTCATTGAATCCTTGAGAACATGCAAATTACAACAAATTCCATGTCCATCATAATTTAACAACAAATTACACCTTATAATAATAAATAAATTTATGAAATTTAAAGGGCTTTTAAAGAGAAAAGAAAAACTCTATGAACTATCAAAGAAGTGACTAAATAAAAGCGTTCATTAATTTGCATGCATGCATGTACACTAATGTCAACGCAATCTTCATCTCTTTTCTCATCTTTGGATCATCCATGGTTCTCTCAAATCCTCAAAGCTCCAATCCCTCCTTATCCCACTTCTCCTCACCAGCGGCTCAGCCTGATCAGCATCGAAACTGTAATACCCCAAACTTCGGGTCAATGACTGAAATGTAAGGATTTAAAATTTGGTGGTTTATTTTGAATAAATTAAAAAGTTCAAGGACTGATTTTGGAATTTGTGTCTAGACTTATTAATGAAAATGGAAGAGGGAAGGGAAAAGAGGTCATTTAGCATGAATGAATTTAAAATTCATTTTTAAAGGTTATTTAAGCATGTGGGAATAAGGAAAGAAATAAAGGAAAAATCTAGAAGTTTTGGCTTTCTTTTCTTCCTCTCTACTGTAAGTTTCTCATTTCTAAGGTAAATAAATTGAAGTTGGTTATTTTTTTTATTTTTAATTGATTTTGGTTCTTTAGGTAATATAGAAGCTTAATAAAGCTTAAAGATGAGTTGAGACTAAGAGATGGATGAATTAATGGTGAATTAGTAAAATGAGTTTTTAAGAGAATTGATAGAAAATTATGAATATTTGGATTCTAAAGGAATATTTGGATTCTAAAGAATATTTGACTTCTCAATGGTTTTAATAAGATGTTAGAAGTGTTAGAAACGATTGAGAACATGTTTGAAGAATTGGTATGATTTTTAGTTCAAGAGTTTTATGGAAGATTTTACATGTTAAATGGTTTTAATAGATATAAGTTAGTGGTAATAAATGTCAATGAGTTTAAAGTTATGAATAGAGTTTAAGGTAAGAGATTTAAGTGAAGTTTGGTAAATTTTCGAAGTAAAACAGATGAATTATAGGTAAGGGTATCAGTACTGGAAGAACATTACAGATACTATAAGGTTAAAATGTAAGAGAATAGTATAAATATGATGAATAGTATCGATACTGATTGAAGTAGTATCGATATGATATGGAGATATCGATACTGTAATTGAAATCTGATTTCCAGAATGTCAAAATGATATCGATACTGAAGTGTGTATCGATACCGTAGGAGAGAAGTATCGGTACTATTCAGAATGAAATGTTAATTATGTGTTTCATTTCGCTTAAATAAAAGTTAATGGGTTAGATGTTAATTGAGTTCCGGTATTCATATGGGTCATGCTATGTGTAGATTTGATTGAAACAAATGCGGAACAAAGAGACGTACCAAGATAAAGTGAAAGAGAGGAGTTGTTTAAGGCTTAAGTGAGGCAAAGGTGAGTGCATTCTGACTTACTTTGTATAAAATTGAAGGACAGCTTGCGATGAGCCAACAAGCTCATATGTATATGAACCAAATGAATTATATTACGTGATGATTTTTATGTAAACGGTATTTTAAAAGTATTGTTTCGATTTTGGTTATGAACATATGTGTGTGTGTAAAATATTACAAGTATATGATTTAGGTGAATATATGTCATGAGAACAACTGAGGATTTCAATAATGCTATATTCAGCAATATAAATATAGGTTATATTCGAAGAAATGGTAAGTTTAATAAGGTTAAATGAAATGTTATAAATAATTGTTCTATGTGAATAAATAATAAATTCAGGCAATGTTACGTGAAATAATATGTCGTGAGAACATGAGGATTTTGACTTAATAGCTGAGAAAACATGTAATTAATTGTTCGATGAACAAGAAGGGAAAAAAAACCAGTTTGTGTTACATATCACTAATGATCAAGGAAATCAAGCTAATAAGTTTGTGGGACTTGAATGATAAATGAACAACAACTAAGATGATCGATGAACAAGCAATTGCTTGCCAATTTATTTAATCAATCAGTTAGGTTCAATGTAGAGTCATCATCTCCTTTCTCATCTTTCATTCAAGTCGGATAAACTGGTTAATTTGTTTACGTTACACAAATTAGCCACTCAGATCAATCAAAGTAATTACTTGATCGATGAACAGCAGACAGATTCTAATCGGGAATTTGACTGTGGTATTCTATTAATTAAAGTAAAAACATTATCATCAGGGGTGGTGGCGCAGTTGGCTAGCGCGTAGGTCTCATAGCATGGATGAGTTATCCTGATGTCTGGAGTTCCAGCCTCTCTCACCCCATTATCCAATTTACATTTTGTTTTTTCAACTCCCTCCTCTACTATATATATTGGGCATTTGGCCTGCAATTATTGATTTCGCAAATGCACCGAATAAAAGTAAAATCAGCAAATCTCCCTTTAAACCAGGTGAGAGGATCGAATCTAAAAAATAAACAAAATATTATATATTAAAAAAACTAAATTTTTGAAATAATTAATTTGTGTTAGTCATTGCAATGGTTTTTTTTATAAGCTTAACAATTAGGTTTCTTTAATCATTTCTAATTTGGGAAATGGATGGTGATGTATGACTTGAACTCTTAGGGTGCGTTTGGTTCACGGAATGTAAGATTATCAGTGGGAATAAAAGATTATCAGGGAATATGATTACTGGGAATGTTGTATTTTGTGTTTGGTTGGTTTAGCAGGAATGTAAGATTACCGTGTTTGGTTAAATGAATAAAAGATTATTGGAATGTATATTTGACCAAATTGTCCTTATTATATATTTGTATAATATTACAAATTGTAAAATATTTATATATTTTCTTTAAAAAATTAAATTCATAATATTTATATAATTTATTTTACAAAATAAAAAATATAAAAAAGGTTTAATGAAAGAGTAAATTTTTTTAACCACTGAACTTCCTATAAAATTTTAATTATAGACTTTTTTTGTAAATCTAAAATAATTTAAGGATAAATTTGTAATTTAACCTTCGTAGAATTTTTATTATTTAATGACAGAAGAAGGATATTTTTGAAAAAAATAAAAATTTAAAACCATTTTAATCCAAAACGCCGGTAATGTTACAATACCTAAGGGAAGAGAGGTAATGACATTCCCGGTAATATACCCCAAAAAATCTATTATTGTAATAAAACATTACCGGGAATGAGATTCCCGGCCAACCAAACATGGAAATGTTAGATTCTCATCCCATGGGAATCTCACAATCCTTGAACCAAACACCCCCTTAGTTTATGGATTTCCTGATTTGTAAATCGTCCAAAAAGATATGGATTTTGACCTTGTTTGCATTCTTGTGGTCTATATGGCTCCATAGAAATGATGTTATGTTTAACAATAGGAGTTTTTGTATTGATAGTTGTTTTGACGCTGCGATTTGGAGGTTGGGATGCTAGTCCAAGTGGAAATGGCCTGAGTGCTTCATTCCTATCGCGGATTTTAGTAGGGGTCCGAGTATGGCTGTTGGGATTATTAGGCAGTAGTGCTTTTGTTGATCTTTTTTTCGTAATTGGTTTCTAGGGATGTGTTGCTGTGCATATCCAATCTCTATTTTTTATGGGTGGTTACATATCTCTGGAGGCTTTCTTTTTTCACTGCTCATGTTTTGAAGTTCTTTCATATGCTAGTTGGTGGTAGGGTCTTGCTTCCTCAGTTGTTTGGAGATGTTGTGCGCCTCGTGTTTGCCTTTCCAATGGTCATTCTTTGTTGTTGGGTGGACATTTGCTGTTTCGGTGCTGGAATGTTGCTGCAGTTTCTGGTTGCTAGCAGTGCCGTAGATATAGTTCATTTTTCCTTGCAGTGTCGTTGATTCGTCTAATCTGTGGTCTTGTTCTTTTTTTTGGTTTTAATCTTCTTCCATGACAAATCTTGCTACACTCTTTTTTTCTCCATTTAGGTCTAAGGAAGTTTTTAACGAGACTCTCGATGTTGTCTTATTCTTGTATTCTCCCTTTATTGAATACAAATCTTTTTTTTAAAAAAAAACCCTTAGTTTATATTGTCAACAAATATAACCTACTAACTATGGCTTCGCCAATTAAGGGCAATTTAGGAGTAAATTTTGAAAAACTACTTTTAATAATGTTGTTTAAAAGTGTAGCTTAAAATTTAATTAAAATTTAAGGTTTTATACGATGTCTTCTGCTTTTCGATCATAAATATAAGATTGAAAAGGAAAAATTACATACATCTTGTACTGACAATACGAATTTCTGTCATTGTTTTACATTTCTTCTTTTTCTTATTCTTTTATCTATTTCGTTTCCTTTGTATAATAGTCATAGATATTATCTGACCACCTAACCATATTTATCCTGATTAAGAATACCCCTACAATTTCTTATCACAAAGAAAAGAACTGTACCCTTAAAGATAACATATATTGTTTTGAGTTGTACGTAAATAATAATATTATGGGTAAATTACGTCAATGGTCACTAATGTTAGGATAAGTGTTTGTTTTTACCATTGATGCTTAAAGAGTCACAAATCAATCACTAACATTATCGTTTGTTACAAAATGGTCACTCGACGTTAACAGTTGTTAATAAGTGTGACAGAAAACATAGCTGGATTGTTATCTGGTGAGTTAGATCATTGACCGCCACAGCTGGACCATTTTAACTTGTTATTCTTTTTCTTTTCTTCTTCTTCACTTTTCTTCTTCTTTCTTTCTCTTCACTTTTCTTCTCCTCGCTTAGCTCCCAGTTAAAGGCGTTAGCTTTAGCTCCCGGTTTGTTGATTTCTTCGCTTCTGTTATCAGCGTCCGCTGTTGCTATCGTCGGCTTTCCCCAGTGTAATTGCGACGACGAGGGGAGTTTCTGAAGCACCGAGGGCATCTTAGAGACTCAAAGAGTGGGTGATTTCTTAATCACCGTTGTGTATTTCTCGATCCCCGTCGAGCTACTTTACTTTGTCAGGTGCTCAAATGTGCCATTCAAATTGGTTCTTTTTCAGTTCATCGCCTTCATCATGCTCTGCGGGTTAACTCACGTGCTCAATGGCTGGACCTATGGTCCACATCCTTTTCAACTCACGGTGGCTCACCATGTTCAAGATTTTCACGACTTTGGTCTCATGTGCCACCGCCATTACGCTCATTAACCTCATTCCCTTGCTTCTCAAGGTCAAGGTGAGGGAGCTTATGCTGAGGAAAAAGGCTCGGGACCTCGGTCAAGAAGTCGATATGATAACGAAACAGAACGAGATCGGTGCACATGTTCGAATGCTAACTCGAGAAATTCAAAAATCGTTGGATTGACATACCATTTTGTATACGACAATGGTGGAGTTGTCTAAGACATTATGTTTGCAGAATTGTGTTGTATGGATGCCTAATATGATCAAGACCGAGATGAACTTGACACATGAACTCAATGCAAGAAACCATTCATGTAATTTTACGATTCCAATTTCGGATCGGGATGTCGTGATGATTAAACGAAGTGATGAAGTGAACATTCTTGATTCCGACTCGATTCTGGCCACTGCTAGCAATGGAGAGTCTAGTGAGCCAGGACCAGTGGTTGCAATTCGAATGTCAATGCATCGAGTGAAAAATAAGAAAAGAATAAAAGTGATGAGAAAGAAAGAAGAAGAAAAGAAGAAGAAAAGTGAAGAAGAAGAAGAAGAAAAAGAAGAAGAAAAGTGAAGAAGAAGAAGAAGAGTCGGCCAAAATGATCCAACTGTGGCGGTCAATGGTCCAGCTGTGTTTTCCGTCACACCTATTAACGACTATTAACGTCGAGAGATCATTTTGTAACAAACAATAACGTTAGTGACCGGTTTGTGAGTTTTTAAACATCAGTGATAAAAATGAATACTTACCCTAACATTTGTGATCATTGGTGTAGTTTACCCTAATATTATTGATAAAATAGTCAAACATGCTAAATATTGGTTTATAAAGTTGTTAACCGGCCTATCTAGGGTTTTCCAGCCCAAAATTAAATGCACCCGTATGTCTTAATTACTTGGATAATGACGACATCTACCGGAAAATGGAAATTGCTGGGGACTTATCTTAAATTGAAATATACAGAGAAGAGCAGTAAAACAAACATATCATTGATCAGTCCATTTGAATTGATTAATATAATTTTATTGTTTAATGTATGATTATTATTTTTATATATTTGTGAATTACATGATGATATATTTTTATATTAATGATTACAATCCAATTATGTAGTAGGCATCATAAACAAAACTATGACGCTAATAGGTAAAGATGAATAGTGGGTACTTGTATATTTGAAGATTTTAAATTTTCATATAATTTAAATATTTTTTGTATCTTTACTGATGATTTAATTTTATACTTTCTGAAATTTTATAATTTTACATATAATGTCTTAAGTTTAAACCCCATAAAAATTATATATCCGTATTGTAAAAAAATTCCGCTAATGACAAAAATTAACATTGATATACAATAGATTATGTATGATTACATGATGGATCGAAAGGCGATGAAAGGAATGATACTTCCTGAAAATTTTAAATTTTTATATACTTTTAAGATTTTATTTTTTTAAATTTTACAAATTTAATCCTATTAATAAAATTTTATAAGTTTATAATTTAGTATAAAATTCTAAGTTATGCATGTGCAAATTAAGAGCTCTCATTAGATTAAGGGACCGGGAGGAGTGGAGAAAGCTCCTATTGGCCAATCAAAATGGAAAACACTGCTTTATTTTCATTATAGCTTAAAATAGAATTTGAGCCTGTAACTTACAGGAAACTGCCCCTTTTTGTCCTCCTGGATTTTCATTTGAATATGTACATACATTTTCCCACGTTGCTTTTTAACGTCGTACTATGATCTATTCCCGTGATGATCACGCGCTAACCCTTCGGCAACAGACGCTACCCTCTTCAAGTTCAACTTAATGACGGTATCAGCAAACAGTCGCGTGTCTTCCACCGTATTACCTTCCGGGACATCAACGACGTAAGATTCCGAAACGACCAGATCCTGCCGTCATGGTTGAAACCGTGAACCGTCGTCACTGACCGGTAATTCTTCAACCGGTGCTCCCCTCCAATAATGCTAAACCCGGTGACCAGTTGTTCATCATCCAAAATATCGAGTCTCCCGGTGCTGTTATCAGCCGGTAGCCCGGAGATCACGTTGCGTTCACGCGTGCAACCCACCACCATTCGCGAAACTTCTTCAAAGGCGCAGTTCCTGATGAAATGTTTGTAAGTTTGGGGTTTGTCGAAACGGCGGACGATGGACCAGACGACGTCGTGTGGGTCGTCGATGTGTTTGGCTAATAAGGAAGAACATTTGCCGGGATATACTGAGTAGGTGTGGAACTGAGTGACGGAAGGGATTAACTCGTCGAACTCATGATGGGTTATCCCGAGGGGAACGCTGAGGGGGTGTGTTGTAGATTCGGAGTCTGCCATTGCAGAGAAAAGGAGAAAGATAAGGACGGAGGGGGAGTTTTATGAGAGAGTTATAGAGGAGTCGAGAAAATAATGGAGTTAAATGAGGGTGGTGAAGGTGACATATCAACCTGCCCTTTTAACATATCGCATTACTGTTCAAAAGCCATCTTTTGTATTTTTCATAAATCAGCATTTATAAAATCCTAAATGCGATATGAAAACAAAGGGTCAATTTTTGAATGATCCTACATGAATTGGCTTATTTGAAAAAATTATGTCTTTTTGGAAGATCCATCTTGTGTTTGGTGTTACATTGTTCCATTATGCAAGAATTTTGAATCATAAGTTCATTATTCTCATCCATTTACTTGTCTCGAAATGATATAATCGTAAAGAAATTTTCAGAGAATGAGATCTAATGATATTGTCACACCTAAGATAATAATAACTATATGTAACTTAACGAATTAAATACATACGATTGTCAGATGGTGGATCGTAGATCACATGGGTTTGTTGATCACATCAAGATTTTATAATTGTCGAAAAGATATAAAGTTATTAAGACTTTGAAAAACTCCAAAGATTTTATGAAACGCGAAAATTTAGAAGAATGATAACAAAGACATTACTTAAACGAAATATCATATGAGAAAAGACTAACAATGATATCCAAATGATCCAACCAAGAAACAAGAGGCATTGAGAAATGACTTCCAATTCTCCATTCCAAATTCAAAATGAATAGGAAAGTTGCTAGTTCATTTTTCCGATGGTGCTTGGAGAAATCATCGAGGGACCATGGCGCTTGTCATAGATGCTATATCCGCTGTCCATGTTTTGGTTAATGATATTAATATTGTAACTTTCTCACATTTTGAAACAAGTTTATGCTGTGACTATTTCACTAGTCTGAAAAAAATTAGAATTTAGGGTTTATGATGTTATGAATCTTATGAGCTGCGTGCATATATTGTCTTTATTTCAATAAAATTATTGCCTTAGCGCAACGAAAAAGAGAAAAAAAAAGAGCAACAACACTTGAGTTAGCCCAAAGCAGACCTTGTGACTTCATATGCCAAGAAACATGCTGCATTTGCGGGCATACTTCGAGTCATGGCAGGTCCGAACCCCTTGAATAGTCCTTTCACCCCCTCCGAAGCTAATATACTACGAAATGCATTCACAAAGCCACTGTACTTTGGGTTTTTGTAGTCATCTACCTGTATCACACTCTTGCAAACATCAATTGGGTAGACACAGATCCAGAACGAAGCTCCGGCCATGCCTCCCGCCATGATCAACGATCCTCTTCCCAGCTTACTGGTGTCCGCTCCTCCTGCCATGTACTGCTTCACTGCTTCGTAAACACCGAAGATAGCGGAATTTCCCGGAATATCACGAACCAAGGTTGGAACGAATCCCTTGAAGAGACCCCTTATGCCACCCTCTGAAGCTAGAACATGCCTGACTACATCGATTGGCCCTCTATACTTCAATGCTGCACCAGCTGAACCAGAATGTGCCAAAGCATTCTGCGCTTGCAATCTGCTTTCCACCATAAGAATGGAAAAGTAAACATTAAGTTCGGACTTATCCTATTCGAACGAAAAAGAGCCATGTTACCGACCTGCATTTGAGCAACTCGGTGGGGCAAGTTAAGACTGAAACAGCACCTCCAGCACCTGCACCGGCAACGAATTGCTGGCTAACTGTGAGTAAGGCACCAGGCTCTGATCTCAACAGATCCTCCAGCTGCCCTCTCACCATAAACAGGGCAGCGTTAAGGGCTGCAACAGTCGCCAGTGGAGCACCCATACCCTTATACAAACCCCTTGGACCTTCAGCAGCTAAAGTCTGCTTGAATGCATCCATAGCACCAGCAAATTGGGGTGGTTGCCCAGGGTGTGGGATAGACTGGCTTTGAAGCTTAACCTTGATGGTATCGAAAGGATGCCCGACCATCAACTGTGCTACTCCTCCAACAGTTCCAGATAATAGGTCCTTAGCCACATCTCCCATCTGCAGTAAATTAAGCATGCAGTAAAACAATGGATTTACTGAAGCAGCATTGGACACATTAAACGGAAAGCCAGTAACATGCCCGATATCACATCTTATGTCGATATAGGCACAGATGCATTCATACATACTCTTATGTTTCGGTTATGAATAGCAGAGGCATAAAGCAAAAGCACAAACAAGTACTGCGTGTCTCTGGGGATAAAATCGGCTTACTCTTCCGTAAGGATCCAGAGGAGGAAGATCAAAACATTAGTAGCACATGACTTTTCCAGTGAAACGGCGATAAAGGGCAAATGAATGATTAACATATATTGAACAGCTTAAGGTAGAATTATCTGTCCAGCTCAGTTGGTAGAGCGCAAGGTTCTTAACCTTGAGGTCGTGGGATTGAGTCGCACGGTGGGCAATTCATAATTGCTGGAGGTCTTCCACGGAAATTGTTTTCAACCTAGCGTTGGGGACAGCCTACTATCCTACCACCCCTTACCCCATTTAATATGGGAATAGGATCATCTATTTATTTTTTGAACAGCTTAAGGTAGCAAATTAGCCAATAATCAAAATTCAAGGATCATTATCCATCTCAAAAGTGATTGCCTTGAAACTCGATGCCTAAATCGCTTTGGCCTCCGAAAGAGAATAGAGAACTCATTTGAGCTAAGGATTCGACAACAGCAGACAGTATATCAAACATGAAACATAACTTCTACTTGAAAATAAGGGCAGTGAGATTAAATAACCACGAGCAAATGATTAAATTTGAAAATATTACAAGCTTCTAATATTGCAGTTCGATGCTTTGGTTGCAGGAATATGGTTAAATATAGAAGACAAATATGAACAAGGATATTAACATTATAAAATCATCAGGAAAAAGTAGAGAACCACAAATAAAGCTTGAAATCTAAAGCTGTAAACAGCAAAATGATCATTTAAGAGGGGAATGGAAGGTTATTGCCACATCATCACATTTAAGAGCCAGTAAGAAAACGAAAGGAGAGTTTGGCAAGGAATTAAACGCAAGCCAGAATAAATCATCAAAGCAAGTTATAAGGAAGCGATATCTTTCTTAACTAGAAGGAAAATAAAATCAAACATAGGTCATTTTGAAACAAAGTACATCAAAGAATCCATAAATGCAATAACTTTGGATCCCACAGGCTTCTACTACAAGTTCAAAACTTAATCTTTTACGCCATATTAGACTTGGGTTTTGCATTAAAACATAAGATCACGCATTTCAATCAAAATAAGTCAACCTCAAAACATATGAACTCAGAAAAAGAACGAATGCACGATAAATAAATTGAATACTAAAACAGGGTTCCAGAAAACCAAATGACTGTTACATTTACATTCCACATATTCGACGAGAACCATGAATCTTACCTTGAAACACAGCACGATGGACAGTAATCGAATTCTATATTGAGAGTTTAAGTCCCTAACCAAGTGATCAAATCTGATAAAAAAAAAAACAAACCCCTCAATCAGATCAAAAAACGTTGCTTTAAAGTACACAAATGATAAAAAGGAGATAATCAAGGCAAAATATTACCATAATGTGACAGAATTTCCTATAAGAAGCCCTCTAAACGTCCATTTCCTTTTTGAGACGAGTGTTTGATGAACCCTTTTCTTAATATGAATGGATTTCTAAGAGGTGAGAGATTGATGCGAGAAACTAGGAATCAAATTAAAATGTGAAATGGATCATCGGGTAGTACTGAGATCTACCAGAGAGTGGCTGTGTTTGGGACTACAAGGAGTAAGGAAAGGAACAAACCAATCGAGTTGGCTCCCAAAAGAGTGACGTGATATTATTGGTCCTAAACTTCAAACATTCTCATTATATCTTCAAAATAATCAACATTATATCAAACAAGTTATTTCATTAATATAAATATAAATTTAAACATTAAATATTAATTCAAATAGCACAAACCAAACTATTTCACGTGAATAGTTGTTATCTCTAGAAGTTTCAAGTTCAAATACTAATAATTATAAAGTACTGAACGTTTATGATGCTTATGTTAAGAAATACATATAGTATAACAGAACTATTATTGTGTGCTTATGTTAGAGTGATCCAAGTCTCATCCAAATATTCGATCTTATTAAATTAAACAAATCAGAATTTCAACTGCTTATCTTTCATAGTACGTTATTGATATACATGGTGAACATGTATAATCATTGACCTCACGTCATATTTTAGTGTTAACTCTATTTTTGTCACACTTAATGTCATTGTTTGGTTTGTAATATTGGAGCTTCGTAGTTTGTATAATCTAAAACTTTATCTATTTGATACAGCGAGCATGTTTTATGATTAAGTAAATGGTTTAAAAATTATTAATTACTTTAGTGATTTTGTATGACACTTGAATTCTTCAATTTTGAATCAAAGTAAATTAGGGTGCTACATTTTAGTGAAGATTTAGGGTTCAATAACCAACCAGCCTCGGAGAGTCTCTCCCTGTAAAATTAAAACTCAAATATTAAGATTAAAATAAGATGAATCAATTTAAACAAAAAAATAAACTCAAATTTAAATATAATGTGATCTCGAGACGTATATAAAATTTTATGTTAGAAGATAAAATTATAAATTTTAGAGAAGAATTTAAAAAAAAAAATCATAAGGACAATTGTCTCACTTGCCCTCCTGTTAACACCTTTCATGATTTTATTTTAAATAAATGTGTGTTTATATTGAAAGACCTAACTCTCTCTAACTAGGGGTGAAAACGAGCCGAGTCGAGCTCAAGTATTGTTGAGCTCGGCTCGACTAGAAAATTCTGAAATGGAGCTCGACTCGAAAACTCGTGAGCTTAAAATTTTCAAGCTCGACTCGAACTCGAAATCCTGAACTGAAGCTCACGAGCAGCTCGAAAAGGCTTGAAATGAAAAAAAAAATCTTAAACTTAACTCGATTGAAGCCTTAAACTCGAACATAAACATTAAATACATAAAAATCTTACTATATTTTAAAAAAAATCAATATATAAATATTAATATTATTAATAATTTATTTTTAAAAAAACTAAAATCTTAATATATCATATTTTTGAGTTGCTCAAGAGCTTTTCGAGTCGAATATCAAGTAGCTCGTTTTGGCTCGTTAAGAACTCGAGTCGAGTCCATTCAATCCGAGTATTTATCGAGTCTTGATCGAGTCGATCTCGAATAGCTCACGATCTGTCTCGTCTCATTTACAGTCTTATCTCTAACAGTTTGAAGTATTCAATATGATTTGCAGACATAAAGAAAGTTGTAAAAAATTAATCTGGCTCAGCTGAGCCGCAATTTCATTTGTAAAGCTAAGAGCTGAAAGGTAAGGGTTGAATACTGACAGCAACCAAGCGTCTAAAGTACAGGAATCCACATACATATAAACTAAAAGGCTTAATACTAAAATAAGTGATTAAACTATATCGTTTTTTTCAAATGGGTGTTTAAACTATTTTTTATTCATCGATGTGTCTAACGTTACAAACGTTATCCATTTAGGTGCCCTGACTTTCAACGATATTAATTTCCCTGTTAAGTAATACATGTCACAATCTATAGAATTTAAAAGTAAAAAATTAAAATTATATATATATATATTAAAAAGAAAACACAAATTTTAAACTAAACCCAAAACTTTAAAAATCTTCATTTCAACCCCTACACCTACGCCGACCACTGCCCTTTGCTGTCGATGAAACTCCACCTGGCCTTCCCTCCCCTGACGACCAAAACTCCTATAAAATTGTGACTGATCGACAACGAATCGATATTTTATACCTCACGAATCCTAGGTTGAAAATCGTAGTCCCACGCGATTCCGACGATCAATCGGCGGTAACTACGATGATGTATGACTAGGAGGATGGTAGGGACTACGACAGCGACGACAATCGTGACCGGAAAGGAAGGCGACGATATGTTAAGGTTAGGATTTCGGGATTTGTGAGCTATTTGATAGAAAATAGAGTTATTTTAATAAATATAATAATATTTTTAATATTTTTAACATGTGTCGCTTAGCGGGAGAAATTAATGTTATTGACGGTCAAAGCACCTAAATGGATAACATTTGTAACGTTAGTCACCTGGATGAATCAAAAAAATAGTTTAAACACCTAATTGAGAAAAACGGTATAATTTAAGCATTTATTTTAATATTAAACCAAACTAAAATTAAAATAATAAAAGATGGAAATTAGGTTTGAGGATTATCCTTGCTTGTGTAGTAGCGGATGTATCAGTGGTTATAAAAATAGTTAAAATACAAAAGATGGAGTTCTAATAATCTTGAGCATAGAAGTCAATAATCTCCCCAAGATTAAGCTGAAACAAAGAAGAACAATCATTGTTCATCAACCAAAGCATGTGTTCAAACAAGATAGCATCCACGTCCTCCACCAAAATTTCTTTTTTCCCCTCTCTTCTTCCATTAACTACTCGACCACCACCACCGCACCCCTTATTCATGGTTTCAATAAAAACCCAGAAAGGACTTTTATCCAACACAAAAGGGTCGACCAAAAACTCCCGTTTCTCTTTTCCGACCACCACCTTTACTTGTGCCTCGCCACTTCCATCCTCCTCGCTCTTCAGAGGCCGGTAACCTAGCCGCGATCTCGTGCTGCGCTTCCGCAATAAACAAACGGGCAATACCAAGCAATCCATGAACAAAACAACCACCCAAATCTGAAACTATGGGAAATGAGTAGAGGGCAATGGAGTATTTATATGAATCTGAAACTGGGTTGTTTTAATTGAATTTGAGCGTGGAAGTGAAGAGTTTTGATTGGGGCCTGGGGGAAATGTGATTGACAAGTTCTTGGGACTGAATAAGTTCTGTCCAAGCACGGCTAGAGAGAGAGAATTAATGGGGAGTATTAACCAAAGCATTTGCTGGCCGAAAGAGCCATTGGGATGTGAAAGAAAACATTTGTAAGGTCCGCGTAAGGAGTTGCCATCGAAATTATTGTAATAATAATATGGAAAGGTACGTTGAAATTTACGCATTACGTATTTTCCTTCGCAAAACATACAAGTAAATACGACAGCAGCATTTCATCGAACACCTGTCCTTTATAGATAAGAATATGCATTTTACCTCAATTTATTATTTATTGACTGGAAGAGGTAATCCATGGCGTTTTTCTCGAAAAATTACAGGTGATCGGTATATTTATTGATTTAATATCGGTTAGATTATATTTTTTGATCTAATACCCGTAGTAGTAAAGCGTGCCCTTATCCCGCGTTATATGTTGATTTGGCGTCACGTGGGATATAGCGCGCCCCCTGTACCGCGATATACCTGACATGAGTTACACGTGTATATAGCGCGCGCCCTGATCCGCGCTATACGCCACGTAGGGGTATAGCGCGGATCAGAGGCCGCGTTATACCTGATTATCTAACACGTGAGGTATAGCGCAGTACAGGAGGCGCGCTATACCTTTAATTACCCACCCGTTCACACCCCAATCCTCCCTATAAATACCTCATCTTCAATCACTTTCATCACACTAAATTCTCTCAAATTTTCTCAATTTCTCTCAAATACTCTCTCTGTTTAAGGTATATTTTATAATATTTTTAATATTATGTATTTAATTTATTTAAGTATTTTACTTTATTTAATATTTTACTAATATAATTTTTTATAGATATATAATGGAAGACAGTCTACTTCACTTGGATGGAAATCATATATCTCGACACTTTGTTGATACGGTAACATTTTAACGTTTTAATTTAATTTAAATTATTAGTAATAATTAGTTGATTTATTTAATGCATGATTCCTCCATGCGCTCCACATTTAGGTCGAAGAACCTACTACTTGCATGTCTTCCCCTTGAACTAGAAGGCATATCGACATTGAGATCGAAAAAGCTCGCAGTCGAATGCCTCCCCCTGGAGCTTGAAGCCATCGTGTCAAATGAAAACTGCACAGATTGTTGCGTCGATGACATCTCCATATTAAGGTCAAAGAAATTTGCAGATGAATGTCTTCCCCTTGAACTGGACGCGGTGTTGCCATACGGATTGTTCGTAGACCCACCTCAGTAAATATCGTAAGGAGTTGCGGATGAATGTCTTCCCATTATTGCATTAAAATCATTACACAATATTGTAGTCGGGCTGTCAACTTGTTCAGCCAGCCCATAGTGGGAGCTTAATGATTGACCCCGAACAGCACGCACTTGAACAAAATGTGCATACATTTCAATAGCGGCGTCTGAATAATTACTTTGAGCTTCAACCATCATTTGAACATCATCATTGTTCGAAAGTTCGAACGTTATATAAGTTAATGGCAACAATGATGTTGGAAATCTGTACTGCAACGACGACATTCTTCTACTACTTCCAACATGAATCTTCCTCGAAATCTTCGTTATCAGCTCCTCAAGAGTTATGTTTCTCTTGAATGATATTTTAACACGCTCATTTGATACGAAAACAACGCCGGTTTCATCTTCTCGAATTTCACCATCATAATAAACAATAGCTGAAAGTCGCGCCATTCTTTGAGTTTAAAAGTGCGGCAATATTATATCTGCAAAAAAAATAACTGAAACAAACCTTATTAAATAAATTATATATATGAACGAAAATATAACACAATAAATTTTTTACACATCGACGTAAATAATTTAAATAATATAATATTATATTATTACCTGCACCGTAAAACTATTTCGACGTATGCTCCCGCTTTTCAATTTTACAAACATAAAAATTAATTGAAAATAATTAGTATAATATTTTTTCAAATAATGATAATAAACAATAAGTATAATTAAAAAATTATAACAAAATTACCTTATAACGAAAAATCGCACGAACTTCTAAATCAAATATGAGAAGATTTCCTGAATTATTACTTGTTGACGGAATTATTGTATTAATTTATAAGTTGAGAGGAGAGATGCGAGGAGATGTGAGAAACTTAACCGGCGGAAGAGTGTATTTATAACCATATAAGGCGCGATACCTGCACCGCGCTATATGTAATTATTCATAAAAGATATAGCGCGGACCAGAGACCGCGTTAAATATAATTCTGGTATAGCGCGGCCGCGCTATAGCCCTACGTAGCTTATAGCGCGGTATAGGGGGCGCGCTATACCTCACGTGGTGCCAAATCAACATATAACGCGAGACAGGGGCACGCTTTACTGCTATGGATGTTAGATCAAGAAATATAATCTGACCGGTATTTAGTCGATAAATATAATTATCACCTGTGATTTTTCGAGAAAATCACCTCAATCCATGGACAATCAATGAATATTTTCCGCTTGACAACAACAAAAGGGGAAAAAAAGTTAACATTTTGGGAGTCAAATCACTTCCACACATGCCTGTGCTCATTTTACATCGCCCCAACTCTGCATTTGAAGTGTGCAAATATATGGTCAGAGCTGAACAAAATCACTTCTTGAATCCCCATTTAGGAATTATAGAATAAGATTTTTTTTATTCAATCATTTTACACAAATCATTTTCCTTGATGAAGCCTGTACAGAAATATCAGGTGGCAGGTGCATATAATGAACAGAAGCCATACCCCAAGTTCGAAGTGAAGTACAGTAGGAGACGAACAAAGGTGAAGGACTCAGGTGATGTCCCATGATGGTAAAATCCAACCGTGCGTGTACTAGTAGGGAAGACTACAACGGGCCTGATTGTTGGGTCTATTAGAAAAACCTGTGTCACCATTTCTGTTTGATAGATTCTTCCTTTTCATTGTTCTAACTTCTGCTAATAACCTGTATTTTGACTTGATCATGTAGAGAAAGGGTTTGTAAGAGGATTTTGGTTTAGGCTTTAAAAATTGTTGGCTCTTCTATCATAGATCCAAGTCGTTATGACTGTAATACCTGCAAGTGTCCAAATTATACCTAAGTTAGCTTTTCGGCGTTTAATTTTTTTTTAAAATTACTACAAAATTTTCCTTTGTTTCATGTTTAAACATGCTTAACAACATCTATCACTCCTCGAATTTATTAAAATTAAAAAAATCTATGTCATCATTTATTTTAACATTAAATTTATTTAATTAAATTAAAATGATGACTAGATTGATAGAATACATGAATATTGAGTCTCAAATGTATAATTATATTAATTTTTAACAACCACATCACTTCTTCAATTAGTTGTTAACGATCTTGGCTTGATTAACAATAATTAAATAATTATGTTGTTTGATTGATAAAAATGAAAGAATCGGTGATCAAAATAAATAAATAAAGCAATAATCAAGTGGTCATAGGTGATTAGTTATAATTCACCCTAAATATTATAATACACTAGAATACTAAGGGTAAATTATGCGTTTAGTACATAAACTATCAGTTTTAGTCTATTTTAGTATAAATTTTAAATTTTTTTCAAAAACATACCTAATGTTTAGTTTTTGTTCCATTTCAGTACTCTGTCATTAAAAACTAAACGGATGGGCTCGCCGCTCATGTCCTCTACAATCGCCAGTCGTCACATCTGTCGGTCAATGAAGCCCAAACTTTCTAGCCCATACCTTTTCGACCTCCTAAACGTGATTTCGACTCCCATTTCACTAGAAAATACCTCAATCTCCCCAAATGGAGGATGTTCTCTTCAACTTCTTCATCCTCCAATCTCTGTCGTCAATCGTCCGATGGGCATGAAACTAGACTATGTTGGTTGATTCGTCATTCTCTTGTGGTCCACCGTTCGGATTGGTCGTCTTTCCATCAAAGCTATGCCCCATCAGCCCGTCCGTTAAGTTTTTAACGACGAGTAGTAGAATAAAACAAAAACTAAACATTAGGTATGATTTTGAAAAAAAATGAAAGTTTAAGTACTAAAATGGACCAAAACTGATTGTTTAGGTACTAAATGCGTAGTTTACCCAATAATAAAGTTAAATATCAAAAGTTATATTTATCCTAACTCGATCCAAAAATGGAATCAGCAGTACTGCTGAGACTCTTAAAGGATCGGATCGGGTGCGAATATCAATTAATTTGGATAGGGACCTTTAAGTTCATAATGATATTGTTTAGGTATCAGAAACAATAGGGTCAAAGATAAATGAGTGAAGGTAACAATGTAAGCAGAATATATTGCAGAACAAAAGCAATGTTGATTGGCTCAACTTGTCGAAAGACTCGAACATGAAGCCTTTTGGTAGGAATTCACACTGCAGCGTTTCGCTTTCTGGTAATTCAATTATCAGCTTAAAAGTAGGACTGGAAAAGAACCTGTGCCTTCAAGAATGCTAAAGTAGCTTTGCAACCTGTCTTCCCTTAGGTGAAAGTATTGTGGGGCTATACCTGAGCCATATGGACCATCTACCAATAAATATAGAGCCTCTACTGTCCTTGTTCAGAGTCCTCCTCCAAGTGATGATAAGTCTATGTAGACCTCATCATTGGCATCGGTCTGATGGAGCGTAATTTGCTGAGACAAAGTCGCGGTCAGTAGACCCGAAGCTTGGGTGCATTTGCTTCTGCAGATAAAATTAGCTTTGGTCTCTGAAATGTGTCGCATCTTTATTGGTTAGAGAATATACCTCGAGAAAATTACAGTTTGATCTATGAGATCTGAAAGGGACACCATCAAGGTGTTTCTCAGAACCTAAACACTTTTTCCAGAAGTATTTATTATGATGTCCGAGGATATAATTGAGTTCATGTCTCACGTTCGGGTCCAGCTGACTGTATTCGGTGCTCACCGACGGTTTAATATCGACTATGCGAGTCTTAGACTTCTAGTATTGAAAAATTTTCATCTCTTAATGTGCAACTCATTCGGTTTAACCTGATTTTACCGGAAATACACTCTGGAGTTCAAGATTCTTTCTGAAGTTTGTAGTATGAACTCTGAAAGAAGTTATAATTTACTTCATCTCACATCATCTACCATGTAATCAACTAGACTCTATAAAATATTCACCTCAACATTTTCTATAAAAATCTATATGGTCCCCTTTGTTGGTTGAATGGCTATGAAACAGTTGTCTGAACTTGGACCTTTAGCAACTAAAACTTCAGAAAAGAAAGAGTATCATAGATGGACTTTATGCCCTGTATTTATTACCACTCATATTCATTGCAAAGTAAAAGAAATCGCAGTTTTTCGTATCGGAATTCGGAAGATAACCGATTGCTCAAACTGTTACAGGTCTTCTCCGATCGAATTACTTATATAATGCATCCAATCAGCTAACCAAAACTGCTTATTTCATAAGTCACTTAAGGTAAAATAACTCGATACAAAGCTAGGAGGGAGTTTCCTCAATTTTCCGATTCAATGTAAATGCGGAGAAATATATTTGTAATGTGCAAAACCAAAGTTGTAGCTTCTGACAATCAACTTGGGCGTAATGTAACCTTTTAGCTGTTGAACTTCTGTTCGGCAGCGCTTTCCGAGCCCTGCAACCATCAATGGCAGAAAAGAACAGTGAACACATTGCAAAACAGAAGAAATCTTTTACAGGAAGAAATAGTTACGGGAAAAGGAAAAACTTTTCTTGAGATAGTCACACTTGCAAGAAAGCATGTCTTTCTTGTACTTGATCTATTGCTGCAATGGTTTTAGACTTGGGATTAGAGCATAAAACCTTGCAAGCAAATTTCTTATCGCATATTGTCCATCTTTTGGTTGCAGTGCATGCAAAATTGATTTGTTTAATCGTATTATATGATTGGATAATACGATTTTCTTTTACGAAATTCCGTCTTTAAAGATGCTAAGAAGACGGTGAATCGGGTATATAAACAGTTAGTAAGCGAGAACAAATTGAGTACTAACCCCAACTGATGTCACAAAATTGCAAACTGCACATTTTACAGATCTTGCTCCATACTGGTACATTAGTAACATTCTGCAGTTCCCACAATTCACATGTGCCACCTGATTTGCTGTCAGAAATGTGAAGGAAAATCTGAAGCTCTCACCAAAACTAATATATTATATTTAATATATGATATTACGTAGTTAAAGTAAGATCTATCGGTACATGTTATAAATTTTTATACTTGTATATATACCTATAATGTTGATGAATAAAATACAAGAAAGCATGCCCTTCCTATTTTTTGTACACATACCTTCCAAGGCCAGATTGACAGTGAAACAACACGAACATTGAACGCTGGTTGCTCCACGGATATACATTAGTAAGGTATGGCAGCCTCCGCAGACCAACTGGGCCATTTCCGTGCCTGTATTTCCAGAATTCGGCAAACATTTCATACACAGGCCTTCCAGAAGGAAGATTCAGTGGATGTGATGTTTCAGAATTTCATAAAAAAGTAACGAAGAAAATAGCAGATGATGCACCTGGAGGTGGCACTGCTGTTACTGCATTGCAAACTGCACAGCACACGGAGGTTGCTCCAATAGGATACAGCAACAAATTTTGACATCCCGAACATACAAGCTGGCTTTGACCACCTGGTTACATAGATTTGGTTGTAGATGCATACACATAGAATCACGGTTCCTATTTTTTTTTTCTCGGAAAAGTATTTTCTTTGAATAGTCTGGATGATTATAAGGTAGTATCTATTCAGAAATTTTTAGACTATGACAACACATATCCTGAAAATACAGTTGTTTGAACCCACGTCCTCTAGAGAGAACAATATTCTGGCCACTCAATGTTAGAGAGTAATATTTATTTCTTGGACCTTTTTTTTCTCTTCGCATAATATATGTAGTTACAAGGAGGCTTCAACTCTATTTCAGCCAATTACCAAAGTTTCTCAAGGAGTATTCACATTGTTTCAAGATAAATCTGTTGCAGAACAGAAGATAAGAGAATAAGATACCATTGGCTGCAGGAGGAATGTAAGGCGCCGGCGGTGTCGGATACGGCACAAGGGGAACTGGCATTGTAAAATTAGACATAGCTAAACTCTCCTTTCAATAGGTCACTGCCTTAGAACCAGAGAGCACCAAGCTTTCTCCCATTCTTAACCATGACAGACAAGAAATATAACATAAGAAGGACTTAGAAATGTATTATAAACATGATCAACTCAGAAAGTGCATAAAAATGAAAGCATAATCGACTGTAATTAAAAGCATACCAGTTTTAACGTAAGAGACAAGGGAGAGTTGCATAACCAGCAAAATACTGGAAAAAAAGAAAAGAATCCAATTCCCAATTTGGAAACTTTTCTTACATAGCCATACAAGATGGTAGTTTTTAATGAATATGGAAAGAGAACAGAAAATAAAAAAACTAAACCTCAGGACAATTGATAAACCAAAAAATTCAGTTGAATCATTATGAAGTGGGGAAAACATATACCTTTTAGCAGATGAAGGGGAGAGAGATAGATTAAAAGAATAAAGTAGTTATTTTGGCTGAAATTTAAGAAGTTAGTGTAAAAAGTAGATTTTTTATTGTTCTGCAGTTTCAATTGGTGAATATGAAAAGTGAAGGATTGATTTTTAACCCCGATAAAAAGATGGATTTGTTTGGTCATTGGTGAGAAGCGTCAAATTCCTTTATGGTAGCATATCAAGATCAACTTTGGGTCTGAAACCCTGGACCCCCGGCCCCTCTCCTTCTCTCACTGTCAATAAAGCTTTTGCTTTTACAGTTAAAAAAAAAATAAAAATTGCATGGACGCGAGTGTGTCGGAATAAGTCCACACTCGCCCATCTCAAGAGAGTAACGGAGCGCTAACTACACCATTTAGCCACATCTCATGGCAAACACAAATCAGGGGACCATCTGTCAAAATTGTCACTGTGGGGGCAAATTTCATAAGTTTTAATTCATACAAAAAGTCGGCATCTAGTAAGTTTAGAGTTCGAATCTTAATATCGGAATCATATTCTCATCTAAAAAATCTCAAAATCCAAACCCTTCTCTTATGCTCAAGTTACCCCTCAATACCAAAAAATAATTATGACTTTTAGCTCTTGTTTTTAATTCCCCTGCATTATTATGGCATAATTTTGGATGAGTCAATACGACAGAATACTGTAACAGAGCAAAACACATTAAAAAAAAAAGAAAGAAAAATGAGTCACATGGGACCACCATGTTAATCTCATTTGAATTTGAGTGGTGAATGATAAATCATACTTTTTATTTATAAAAATTAAAGAAATATTTTTATATTAGTAAACATACAATTCGTTTAGTGAATTTAGTGATAGAAATGAATTTTGTTTAGAAAGGGTTTAGATTTATAGTTAAGGATGGACCTAAAAGGGTGACTGGGTGGGGCCATTCATCCCTTTGAAAAATTGTAATTCTAGTATATTTTACATATATTATTTATATTTTCTGTTGATAATATGTTTTCGTCCTTAAATTTTTTTAAATGTATTCCTCCTTAAAAATTTTAAGTTTGCCCATAATATAAAATTTTATACGAGTAATCCTTACAAGAGAGTGCATTATTAATATCTAAGAAAAGATTTTTGAACAAATATTATCTTATAATTATTTTAGTATATTAAAAATACAAAAATATGTATATAAATTACTAAATTATTAATTTCAATTAAAGTATGTTAATTATTGATTTAACAGGGATGAACTTAAAATAAGAAAAAGACTAGAAAAGTAAATGCACGTAGTGTTGAATATAGCTGTTAGTAATCACGTGTAGTGTTCAGTTTGTATGAGAGAAGTTAGATGATTAGTTGTGCAGTTAGACTGTTAGACTAGCTGGCATGGTTAGTTGTCAATTGCATGAGGTCATTGAGTGTTATATAAGCATTTTATTAGTTCATGAGATTTGGCAAGTTTTTTTTTGTCACACACTGAATTTTTGGATTAATATTGGTAATTTTAATTATCTTATTTGAGGGACCAAATCGCTAGATTTTTAATTTCACGTTAAATAGTTTTAATGTCGTAAATAAGAGGACAATAAATTACAAATTACCCTTGTGAGATAAATAATTTTAATGTCGTAAACTCTGATTATTTCACGTTAAATAGTTTTAATGTCGTAAATACGAGGACAATAGGTTACAAATTACCCTTGTGAGATAAAATGACCCGAATTGACCCTAAAAACAAAAATAACGCTAAAAATGTCATTCTTGATCTGATAAACTACTGATTCACCTGTTAATTACTTGAGTTGTTTAGTAAACTTCTGATAATTGATTTTAACCTCTAAGATGGCAAAGAAATTAGAATTTTCGATTCTAGAATAAACATTGGATGATTAAATTATTGGAAATAAGACATTCGAATGAATCAAGAGAAATGACCTAAATACACCTGAACCTTAAAAGGGTAAAAATACATTGAACTCTAAAACGACCGAAGTAAACTTGAGTATTAAAATGACCTAAATACCCTCATTATCTAGAAATAAGTGGATGTCATTGGATAAATTCAAGCAACATTGATAAACCTAAGTATTGTACCACCCCTTGAGGTTTAAAGCATGACCCAAGTGTGTCAGTCATTCTGGATACAGTTGCAATATAGAAAAAAATAATATCATCGAAATACATGTTCATCCCCTCGAGATCTGTTTCAATGGTGATTAGACAGTGACCAGTTCAACTAGTACAATCAATAGGATATTCTGAAGGATATTGCCTGAATGATTAATGAGTACTGCAATGATGGGAGTTGTTTAATTTATTGACCCGGAATCCTGATAATTCGATATAAATCCCGAATACTGCGATTTACCATTTAACCTTCATTGGTTTAAATAACTAATAATTCTTCTAGTGTGTTCCCTATACACAAATATGTTTTCTCTGATTATAAAAAGTATGACTCTGATATCTGAAATAAAAACTCAATCTCTGATCTCTATTTTCTATATATAATATATTTGGCTCTTGATCTCTAATATTAATGGTTACCGTTTACTATTTTATGATATGATTTTTATTGGGGGTACTATATGGATAGGGTTATGGAGTTCTGAGGTTCATCTCTAATCAAGCTGATAATTCTTTATAGACCTAAGGTGACCCTTGGGTAGGCCTATAGGCCCCAAGGTATCCCCTTAGGTAGGCTCGTAGTATTGGGGAATTGCATATGAAGTGTTTGGGTGGAGGGTATCATTGTATTTAAAAAAAATATGTTTTACTTAATAAAATACTATTTTTTATTTTGTTGGAATACACTAGACTTCCAGTTTCATTTCCTAAATCTGTCTCTCTAAATGTTTCTTTCGAACTGTACGTTTTCTGATCTTTACCTGAAGAATTACTTAATGAAACATCAACTTATCACTATAACTTGTTTGTGCCAGGATAGCTAAGGGAAACTTCATGTTGCACCATTTATATGATGTTCTTTGGTATCATCTGATAGTTTTGTATTACTGAGTTTTCCTAAAGTTCACTCCGTTATTCACCATTTCAGGTTAAAGGAATTGACCGTGTGCATTATCAACATCGGTAATGGAGTTCCTTCGACGTTGCTTGCGAGTACGGTTCATGTGTAATTAGGGGGCATATAGGCCACACTTAATTTTATAATGAGTTTAAAAATTTTATGGTACTATGTATGATTGAATTTTGTTTTTGATATGTGAATTATTTCCTGAACTTGTGATTATTTATAAGTTGTTTTACTGATTTATAAATGGTTTATCAAAAAATTTATTTATGACATATTTTTACTGTAGGTTATTTCAATGGCCCTAATGTGATACCTCAGATTGGGTCACCCATATAGGTTTGGGTGTATTATATTTTTCTACGTAAATAAATAAGTTTTATTTTTTCTGTTTGGTTGTTAGAATAATTTTTTAGGTATTTCAACGTGGTATTTTTCGCTGAAGGTTCAATAGCTGTGTGGGTTGGTTCTTTCTAAGCATTGTCGATCTGTTTGGATCTTTTTCAAGATGTGGAAAGTAAGTCTCTCTTTAAAATCATTGAAAATATTTTCGAATAAAAAGGTTAACGTCGTGCTCGATGAGTCAAATTTTTTCTTATAGAAACAACAAGTGTTACTCACAGTTCGTAGTCACCGTCTCGAGCGGGTGCTGATTGGGATGATGCAAGCACCTTAAAAAACTATTGTTAATGAAAATTTTGATTCGGTTCCAAATGACACATAAAATTAGCACACTTGCATCTTGGTTATTGTTGACTATCAGTGCCTCCTTGCTGCCTCAGTTTTTGGGTACCGAGAGAGCTACCGATGTTTGGTCGACTGTTCTTCGTTTCTTTGCTAACAGGTCTACCACGACGGTGATGAACTTACATTATAAGCTACATGTATTGAAGAAGAGCGATGCTTTGGTGTCTTGTACAGTCTGGTGGCTCAAGTCAAATATGTCGTTAGCATCTTGAAAGGGTTGTTGAGGGGCTTTCAACCATTCATGGCTCTTATAATCACCTCATGTGAATCTCTCTCATTTGAAAAGATTTGTTCTATTCTGGTGGATGCTGAAATGTAGATTGTTGGGTTCGAATCCCAGTTTGAGGGACTATCGATCAATGCAAACCTCGCACAAGGTAAGGTCACCTCTGAAATGAGTATAAGCATCATCGATACTCATCAAACTCTGGTAGTAGAACCAGTGGAAGAGGTCACGGAGGTCATGCGCGGTTGTAGTGTCAACTATGTGGGAAGAATTACCACTCTGTTGACCGATGTTGATATCGGTTTGATCAATACTTTCTTGGCGTAGGTGCAAGTGCAGATCAGTATCAGTCTAAGAAAGTGTCTGGAGGTGCTCATAATGTGGCCTAAAATGATACAGGTGCTCATGTTGTACTACCAATAGTTGTGATGATTCAATCGGCTCTCTACCACAAGTACATGTTGCTTATGCCTCAAGAGAATATTGGGTTGTGGACTCTAGTGCCACGCACTACATGACTTATGATGTATCTAACATCTTGAATCCGATATAGTTTAATGGCCCAGGTAATTTGGTTTTTGGTAACAGAAAATCATTAGGAGTTAATATAGTTGGTAGATCGGTAGTTGCATCTTCTTCTTCCTAAGCTTTGTTCTTGAACGATCTTTTGCATGTGCCTAAAATAACAAAGAATTTGTTATTGGTTTCTAAGCTTGATAGGGATAACCAAGTCGTTGTTGAGTTTCATGCCCAGAATTTCTTTGTTCACGATAAGACCATGGGTGATGTGCTAGTTTGTGGCTAACAGAAATATGGTATCAATGTTTTTTACATGCAACGTGACTACAACAAAGCAGAAGTAAATGCAACTATAGCTTCGCTTAGTCCCTATGAGCTATGGCGTAGGCGCCTAAGGCACCCGTCTGTTAATTCCTTGAAGAAAGTCTACAATACTATTGATGTAAACATTGTTGGGGAAACCAAGTTATTTC